CCAGGCTTAGGATGAGTGCCATGGCGTCAGCCTAACTCACAGCAACCTCAAACTCCTGGGCTTAAGTAATCCTTCTGCCTCAGCCTCCCGAGTAGCCAGGACTACAGGCATGTGCCACCATGCCCAGCTAATTTTTTCTACATATATTTGTTGGCCAATTAATTTCTTTCTATTTATACTAGAGATGGGGTCTTGCTCTTGCTCGGGCTGGTTTCGAACTCCTGACCTCGAGCAATCTGCCCACCTCGGCCTCCCAGAGTGCTAGGGTTACAGGCGTGAGCCACCGTGCCCGGCCCTCTCCTGTCATTTTATATGCCCCTTCCCTATTTTGTTTTTCTCCTTAGCACATAGTAAGTACTGTATCTTTGACTTACTTATCGTCTTGTTTCCCCCATGGGAATGTAAGTTTTGTGAGGGTAAGGATTTTTGTCTTTTTTGTTCACTTTTGTATCCCTAGCACCTGGAACCATGACTGGCACATAGTAAGCATCCAATAATTATTTGCTGAATAAATTAATTATAAAACAAGATGAAAATATATCAATACATGAGTAAAAATTAGCAAAATTCCTTCCTTACCAACATCTTCAGCCACAGTGACCACAATTCTATTCCCTTTCCCAAAGTTAACCTCTATTTTCAATGAGTGTGCATCCTTCTAGATCTATTTCATATGGATTTACATATGAATAATTGTGGAAAAATTATATATATACACAATAGAAAAATAGAATATAGAGATATTGTCATGCATTTATTTTATATTTAAGAGGTTATTATATGCTTAAGAGTTATTCTGTTAAGTTTTTTTCCACTTGATATTATTTTTATTTTTTTGAGACAGAGTCTCACTCTATCGCCCCAGCTAGAGTTCAATGGTGTCATCAGAGCTCAAACTCTCCAGCTCAAGCGATCCTCCTGCCTCAGCCTCCTGAGTAGCTGGGACTGTTGGGCCTTGTCACTATGCTTGCTTAATTTTTCTATTTTTAGTAGAGATGGGATCTCGCTCTTTCTCAGGCTGGTCTTGAACTCCTGACCTCAAGTGATCATCCTGCCTTCGCCTCCCAGAGTGCTAGAATTACAGGCATGAACCACCACACCTGGCCTTAATATTTCTTTGAGATAATTTATTGGCTTTACAGAAAGTTCCTCCTCATTCATTTATTCATTTTAACTTCTACTTAGCCTCACATATTTTAGAAGTACCTTTATTTATCCCTTCTCATATCCATGGGCATTTAGATTGTCTTCAACCATTCCTGACTTTTAAAATAGCAAATTCCCGAACTTTTGTGAGTGTGTAAACATGTGTGCATGTGCATATGTGTATATGTACTCCATAGCTTAACTATACCTTGCAGACCACTACTCTACTGAATCTAATCGTCTTGGAGCCCCAGGGATTGAGTGCAATTTTGAATCCTGTATCCTACCATTGGGCTGCCAGGGGTCAGACACAGTTCCACATTGTTGACTAGCTAAAGCCCAAGCAAAGATGCTTCAGAAGCCTGGTTGAAGTGACCCTGAAACATGCTAACTGTAGTCTGCAGTTTTAGGAACAATCTTTGCCACTTCAGAAAATCATTAATAAGTGAAAGATATTGCCCAAGGAGAGGCCTGTGGTTAAAAACAAAACAATAGCAACAACAAAAATAATGGTGTTCTGAGGGCCAAATTCAATTGGCAGAAAATCATTCATTCAAAAACCACTTACTGAGTGTATACTATATACCAGACTCTGCTCTAGGTACTGGGGATATAGCAGTAAACAGAATAGTAAAAATCCACGTCCTCATGGAACTTGTATTTGGAAGGGTGATAGACAAGTTAAATAAGAAAAACATATTGTGAGCTAGATGATGGTTAGTGGTGAGAAGAAAAATAAGGCAGGAAAAGGGATGGGGAGAGCCAGGATTTACAACTTTACACAGGAGGTCAGATGGTTGTCCCGAGGTGATAATGGAGTTAAGATCTGAAGTGGTGAGGGGGATGCTGGGGCAGAAGCATTCCAGGCAGCGAGTGCAAAGGGCCAATCTGGAGTGTGCCTGGTGTTCTAGGATAGGCAAGGAGGACAGGGTGGGCACTGTGGGGGGAGAGTAGGAGACAAGGTTAGAGAACAGGGGTTAGGTCATGCAGGGACTTGAAGGTCATGGTGACAAATTTGGCTTTTACTCTAAGTGAGACAGAGTCATTCAAGGGTTTTCAGCAGAGAAGTGTCATGAGTCCTTTACAATTATCACTTCTAAGCATGGAGCATGGACAGTTTTGTTTTACAAGGAGAAAGACATTCTAGAGAGAAGAATTTTAGAAAGCTGAATGGTTTTCGTGAGTTTTGTACTCTTTCATGCATGTACTGGTTAGTAGAATGCTTAAGAACAATTATAAAAATAGTGTTAAAATAAGTCATCTCAGGGATTTATACAGAAAACGGAGTTATGGTGTTTAGAAGAATATAGCTCTGAGGTTTCAGTTAAAGTAGGATGTTTATACTTTTAATGCATGATTAATGAGAGTTTATGAAAAAAATACTTCAGACAGGATGACTACTCTCACTGACAAAAGGACAAAATGTTATCTTCTTAACCATGAGATTTTTGCCGCAAATGAAAGTCTTTTACCATTATAAGAAAGAAAGGCTGTATCTAAATGTAAAGGAAAGTAGCAGCTGTATAATATCATGAAGTTAATATTGATTAGAAAATCCAATTATTTTTACAATTTATTCTGATGTATCCCAAGACAGCTGTTTGTCAGCAGGTGAACTTCCTATTTAATTGGCATGATTGAGTAATTAGATGTATTCTCAGAGCAGCAATAAAAGGAAATTCTCATGTCTCAGTAACGTGGTTGAGGGTTTTGTTATGTTTTGTTTTACCCTTGGGTTTATCCAACTGAGACCAAGGAGACTCTTTGTTTTATCTGGGAATAATTTTTAATTTAAAATATTTGGTAATTGTGTGGTTATATAATTACTTTCATCATAGGAATTATGGGAAAAGTTCATGAGTTTGACAAAAACTTGTGATAATTTGCCCTTCTCTCATACTAAATCCTTCAGGGCCTCACCATTTTCTTCTGGGCTCTCACAGGAGCCTTCTAATAGGCCTCTCTCTCTGCCTCCAGGCCTTTCCCTCAGGCCAACTTATCTTCTAGAAGAGAAATTTGATCTTTGTACCATATAACCTATATCAAATTGTAATACATTTATCTATAAATAACAAAAAACTCTTAGTGGTTTAAACAAATAGGGTTTTTTGTTTGTTTGTTTGTTTGTTTTTTATCTCACCCATCACAAAATGTAGGGGGTTAGGTATAGTGGCTTCAAAATGCTTCCAGGGTTCCAGTCTCTTCCATCTTTCTGCTCTGCCCTCCTTAGAATGTAAGCCTTCACTCTCATGCTAGTTGCTGCATGAATGCAAGACGGCTGCTGCACCTCCAGGTCTCACTTCTACATTCCAGGCAGGAAGAAGGTAGAGGGTGAAAAGGGCAAAAAAGACAAAAATGCTTGAGTAGGACTTTGTATTTTATCTTTCTCCATGAAGGGAAGCCTTTCTCAGGAACTTTTGACTAATTGCAAAGGAAGCTGAAGAATTGGGCACTTTGGCTTATTAGCCTTAATAGAAGTTGTCAAAGGAGAAGGTGGATATTATTGATTTTAGATAGCCATACCATAGTTTTTGCCAAACGCTGCGTACTGTGGCCCACATAAAATTAACCATGGTTTAGCACCTAAATAGAGCATGCCTGAACATCAGGAAGGTAGAGAGAAAAAGGATCATCTGAGAAATTGGTTCAGTGACTGGATCTTTGAGTCAGAAAGAATGCCTGGGAAAGATAAAGCTGGAGTGGTGAGCAAAGGCCCTATCATGTAGGGTGTTGTAGGCCCTTTCTGTGCAGAGCAGTGGAGAGTAATGAAGGGTTTTAAGTCACTTAAGATGCTTGCCCATCCATTTCCTCCCATCTTCATTCTGTCCCTTCTTCCAACCAATGTAGTTTGTGTGGTTTGACCCCAGATTGGCCTAAGACACTTAGCATGTCTAATTCCTTTGGCCACAGGTATTAGTTCAGGGATGGGCTAAAAAGACACAACATACTATTTGCTAGAGCATCTGGGAAAGTGTCCTCTTTTGTTGTATTTGCTAGTGTGACTATATGATGCTCAGAAACTGCTCAGCCATGTGGCTATCACAAGAGGGGGCAGCCTGAAGGGAATACTGACACACAGAAGACAGGGCTACAACATGGCACTCAGTGACAATTATATTCTGAGTCCTGGATCCAGCTGTAACTGAAACTAGACTGTCCCTTAAATCTTCAGGTAAGACTGAAAATTCCCTTTTATTTTATTTAAACATATATGACTTAGGCTTTCTATAACTTGCAACATGAATATTCTTAATTAATATATGTAACATGATCACATTTGCATTTTAGAAAGATCATTTGGTCTACAGGGATAATGGATTGCAAAGCACAAGGCAGGAAGACCTGTCAGGAAGTTGAATACTAATCTAGTCGAGAGATGATATTGGCTTGCACATAGTGGTGGTGGGGGTGGGGGGTGCAGAGAGAATTGATGGATTTAAGGGATAGTTAGGATAGTACACAGGGGGCCTACTTGGATGTGGGGAGAAAAGCCAGAAGAAAAAGTTAAGAATGATTTCTGTCTTCTGACTTGAGCTACAGGATTGGTGGAGTCATCCACTGAGGGGAAGAGACAAGAGTGCCCAAGGAGTGTGTGGCTGAAGTAGAGTGGAGGGGAAGATCCCCAGAGGTGAGGAGGTCAAGGTACGGAAAGCCTTAGGTTATCCATGTGGACCTTGAAGCCACTCCAAAGCAGTACTTGGGATAGAGAGGCAAACCTGTGAGCAAAGTTCAAGGCCACTGGTAAATGAAGGGGAGGAAAGGAGAAGTGGGTAGACAAAGCAGATATATGGGGTAGAGGGGTATAACTGGGTAGGAGTTTTCATACAACTGTGGAGAAGTGAAACTGGCTAATATCAGGTGAGTGAGTACTATTTGCTAGGCTTTCCATACATTAGTCTATTTAATCCTCAAAAATAACCTTTATATGAAACAGATGGTATTTTTACCCCCCTTTTATAACAAGGAAACTAAGGAACAGAGAGGGTAAGCATCTCAGTTCTTATCCACAATGCTATGCTGATTCTCATAAAATGATAGTGGCAAGTGTTTTACTACATGTCAACTGAAAATTAAAATCAGACCTCCTGAATATTGTTAGGAGTAGGGTTAACTTCTTTGGAAAAACAAAAGAAATATTTATTTCAATGCCATTTGTACCGAAATATTTGTTTTTCAACATTCAGCAGGTGGCAGCACTAAGTAGAAATTTCATACTAGGTCATCTAATAGAAAAGAAACACTGACCCATTCTGCACATATCAAGACTTCTGCACATTCCATGCTTTGATGATTTTTTCAGCAGCATCCAGTGTGCTATCTTTCTGTAAATTAATGAAATAATCATCATCTTTACATATCAGCATAAATTCAAGATGAAGCAAAGATTTAAATATAAAAAATACAAATCATAATAGCACTATATGAAGATTTAAGTGAATATCTGATCTCAGGCATAGAAAAACTTTCAAGGTGAAAATGCAAAGGCAGAACCTCGAAGAGGAAAACAGTTCATGAAATGAGTTATAATTTCAAAATCAAGTCAAAGAGTACAGAAAAATAATAGTTGTCTGCTCTGCCCCTTCCCACCCCTTCCTAGTAACCCCTCCCTCCTCCAAGATAACCTTTTATGGCAATTTCTGATTTTAGTTCTAATGGCTACCACTAAAATATAAGAAATATGCTTATGCTTCTATTTCCTTCTTTGTGAACTTCACATATTAACCACTATACCTATACTTTGCTCCGAATAAGGAAAATTTAGTTCATTCACACTACTCTGTTCTCCCCTTTCAAAGTTTCAGTTATAATTTCTGAAAAAGAACCCACCTGTTTTTTGACTATGAAATACATACATATGTTATAAAATTAAACTGAAAGGTAAACAGTAAAAATCCAGCCTTCTCTTCTTCTTCTACTTCTCTACTTTTCTTTCTATTTCCTGTCTACCAAAATGATTCAGTCTGAAAGCCAATAGGTGAGGCTGAGCAAAGTGGGTGTCCATGTGTAGGGGGCCAGGGCATGATATAGCCAGAGTGGGGCATCACTTCAGTTTTTTCCTGCCAAAGTGCATAACCTGAAGCTAATCAGGAGGAAAGGTCAACCTTAAATGAAGGACTTTCTTCAAAATAACTGGCTAATAATTTTCAAAAGTATCAAAATCATGAAAGTCAAAGAAAACTGAGAAACCTTTCCAGATTGAAGGACATATGACAACTAAATGCAATGCATGATTCTGATCTGGATTGATTGACATGATTATGGCTTGAATTTATTTATTGGTTTGTTAGTTAGAAAAAGGACATTGTTGGGATAATGAGTGAAACTTGAATTAGATCTGAGGATTAGATGGAATGATATATTAATGTTAACTTCTTGATTTTGAGGGTTATATTGTGGTTTGAGATGAGAATGTCCCTGTTTGTGAAGAATACAGAATAAAGTATTTGGGGGTGATAGGAGCATCATCAGTAATTAAGTTAATGACTTTGAAATGGTTCAGAAAAAAAGTTATTGAATCTTTTATATTGAGAGCTTTTTAAAAAAAAAATTTTTAAAGTAAGTTAGCATCTCCCTATGTCCCTTGGTAACTCAGTTTTCCTCCCCAAAGGCAACACTGGGATTTTATTAATATTATGTGTCCTTCTGGAGATACTCTAGGCATTTATAAGCATCTGTCTCTCCACCTACGTGTTTTCCTTTTTATATACAAATGATGGCATTCCATACAAACTGTTCTGCTCTGTGATTTCAGCTTATGTGCTGTCACTACATGGAGAGCTGCTTCATTCTTTTACTGATATGAGCATATCATTTTTAGCAACAGAAAAAAACCCCAGTGCTTTATCAATAGAAATGAGAATATTATAAATGTGTTTTTCAGTAGAACAGGGGACTTACTTTAATGAAGCAAAATCGTACAAATTTCTCAAACTGTAATTTAGTCTCTGAGTTACAGAATGCTGAAACAGGGATGGCTGATAGTTTCTGAAAAATAAATAGGAAGACATAATAAGAAAATTACTTATACTTCAAATATTAATTTTGAGATTACAGACATTAGAAACTAATAGATACTTTTAAATAGTCACAACAATTTCCAAAGAGAAAAATAGTTTTAAATTTCCCTCAAAAGCCACAAGTGGAATATCATGTAACAAAACTACATTTAATGTTTTCCAAAGCACGTCAGCAGGTTTCCTTCATAAATTAACTATAAAATATAACACAGTGTTGCAAAGGCCAATAAACATTACCTTATTTTTAATCATCCATTTCACAAATTTATAGTCATAAGGCTCATTGTCCTTCATATCAGAGAGGTCTGCATCTAGAACAACAATGAAAATTAGGTGGCCTATGAATTATATCTGAGGCAATATGTATTTCACTTAAGTCCATCAAAATTCAAAATTTTCTTCTGATTTAGACTGGTTTAAAATTTTCTCAGAAGATATTCAAAGAATATGCTAGAGTCATACTGCATGGTGGGGTGGGAAGTGAGAGAAGCTTTATTGATATGCTATGGCAGTACCCACACATACGTCTGGTTGATCATGCTTGTACATGCAGTTCTTGACACAGGAAGAGAGTAGGAAAGGAAAAGGGAAGAGGAGTGTTGCCTCTTCATCTAGAAATAAGACTCTATCTATGATCATTATTAAGGAAATAACAAGTAAATTATTTATAAAGTATTCATCAGTAATAATTATATCTCCAAACAGCCATTCATTAGATTATAACCTCCACAAAGGTAAAGTGTCCGCTTTGCAACCTAGTGTATCCTCAACCCGTAGGTCAGTGTCTAGCACGTAATAAAAAGCATATTTGTTGAATGAATAAATTAATATTATTCATTATTTATAAAGAATGTCTGTTTGGGTCTTCTAAATGTGATCCTTATTTTTTATCTCTTAATTACATATATTATGCTGTTTTTTAAATTTTAAATTTGGAGAAAAAAAACCTCAAATATGTATTCCTATTCTAACAATCTTGCTTTAGAGTCTGGGCAAGATATTTCTCTGGCATTCAATTTCAGTAATTTATATTTCATATTGTTTCAACTTTATTGACTTGTACTCTTGGATCATTTTGAATGTTCCCAAACAACTAATGTTGATGGTTACTGCAATCAATAAAATTTTACAATTTATTGCTGGAAACAAATTGAGGTGGGTATCTTACTTTTTTCTTTTATTTACAAAATACTAGTGTTTTATTTCCAAATTAACCATGTAAAAAAAGCCTTTACACAGAAGAAAATGTAACCTGTACTTCTAAAACAAAGTCTAAGCACTGATTTTACTATACCTAACGATATCTTCATTCTCTCTTATACTTTAAGGAGAATGTAAAATTTCCACATAATAATGCTAATAAAATACTACCATATGCTTACTATTAAGCATGTTACATGATCCTCTCATCTGGTTGTCACCACAATTCTGGGCAGTAGTTACAATCCTCTCTTTATAGGTAAGAAATTCTAATTACTATTTCAAGATATATGTGTGTATGTGCGCTTAATTCAGGTTTGGCCCTAACAAAAACTGCCAGCTTAAAACAATGAGACTCTAGGAGGAACAAGTTCTAGTGTTCTATACCACTGTGGTATGACTATAGTTAACAATAATATAAATTAATAATTTCAAATAGCTAGAAGGGGGATATTGAGTTTTGTCAACACAAAGAAGTGAATGTTTGAGATGATTGATTAATTATGCTAATTAACCCATCTGATCACTATATAGTATATATACTGAAACTAAATATCCCCCATGAGTAGGTATAATTATATGTAAAAATACAAAATTAAAAAAAGCTAAAGACTAATTGTAAATTATGTAAAAAGTTCTCTGTGACAAGTACACAATAGTAGTGTATTCAAGGTACAAAAGCAGCCCAGAGAAAGGAGTGATTACCTATGGGAATAGAAGGAAGAGCAGAAGGTTATTAACTAACTGTAATTGACACTGTGCTACTCTTTTTTTCTTAGAAAGCTTAGAAAAAAGGAATTTATTGCTGTGGTGCTGAAAAAGGAAAGAAGGGAATACATACAATTATAAAGGTTTTATAGTTGGAGAAGGTAGCTGAAATCTATTTCTTTTGAAATGCTTGCGTTAGAGATACCCAAAGGAACTAAACAAAGTTGTTCTTTATTGAAGAAAAGAATTTAAACCACATGCATTAGCATATTTAAGTAATCTGTGAGAATCCAAATTGGTTTTTGCATTTCCACCATCTCCTCCATAATTTTGGATCCTATTATCTCACTAGAAAAACTATAATAATCTCCTTATTTGTCATCTTGTCTTCTAATCACATGTTTCCCTTTTGAGTTCCAGGATGAAGCTCACTAGTCTGCAAAGGTGCTTAGTAGAGCAGAAAATGGATAAATTCTCTGGTTAGGAAATCGATCTCTGGGTTCAGAGGTCAGCTCTGCTACTTGGTAGTTGATTAATTTCAGTAAATTACTTAAGTCTCTATCTCATCTTTATTAATAGTTATATAATATTATAGCACTATTATAGCACCAATCTCATATGACTTTTGTGAGAGTGTGATATTTGTAAAGCTCTTAATATAATAATTACTACATCATAAATGCTCAAAAATATTAACCAGTTAGCCATTGTTATTAATTGTAAAGAGAAGTAATTACTATGTTCATGAATATTATAGTCTACTTTTATTCTTAAGCTACCATTAAATGGAAGTTTTTGTTTTTATTTTTAGCAAATGATAGGACCAACCTCTAGTACACGGAAGAATTCCCACATTGCAAATTAATCTAAGCAGACGAAAGAGTAAAATAAAACAAAAATTTTCTTCATATGTAGGAAGGTTTTATAGACATTAACATTTTTCCACATGGGTAAAGGAAGACCATAAAGGACATCTCTGTTTCTTTTTTTCCACCATCAGGAAAGGTTTTCTGGCTGGGTGTGATGGCTCAGGCCTGTAATCCCAGCACTTTGGGAGGCTGAGGTAGGGTTGCTTGAGGCCAGGAGTTTGAGACCAGCATGGGCAACATTGTGAGACAGGGAAGGGATGGGAAGAGGAAAGGGAAGGGAAGAGGCAAGGGAAGAGGGAAAAAGAAGGGAAGAGGTAAGGGAAAAGAAGGGTAGAGGGAAGGGAAGGGAAGGGAAGGGAAAGGGGAAGGGATGGGAGAAGAGAAGGAGGAAGGGGGAAGAGAAGGAGGAAGAGGGAAGAGAAGAAGGAAGGGAAAGAGAAAGGGGAAGGGAAGAAGGAAGAAAAGGTTTTCTAACTGAAATTCTTTCTGCTCCTATTATAACCACACTAGTTCAAGATCTAAGTCCTAAACTATTAATAGTATTGCATATAGGATGGATTGACTGAGGAAAGAATGGGAAACTAATTAAGAGCTTAGTGTAATACTCCAAGTTGCATCACTGTCCTTTTGATATGTAATGTCACAATGTGATAAATCTCTTTTAGAATTTACTATCTGGTAAAGTTTGGTTCCAGGAAAGAACTCTTATTTAAAAAGCTGTTAAATTTTCTTTTATCCAAGAATTATGTAACTAATTCCATTTTTCTATTTGCCTTTGGTTCCAGGAAGTTTGGTCTCAAGATAATGCTAATTATATTACCCTCAGTGAATGAAATATTTGCTTTCTCGTCATTCTATATGTCACTGATTTTTGATTTATATATCATCATTGCTATTTATATATTATTGCATAGAAGACTTTTACTATGAATAGGCTAAAATTCCGTTTGGAAGCATAGAAAGTATAAACCATTTTCTTATAAATAAAATAATTCATGTGAAAGTCTCGTGGATTTCTGATTCAAAGACAAAAATATAAATGATGACAACTGTGCTATTTCTTTTTATCATTTCATGAAATGAGCTTCACATTGAAACCCAATATGGGAAAATGCTTTCCAAACTTCAGAATATAGAACATTTTAAGGGATTTTATATACGAATGGAGCTTGGGAGCCTGCCAGTATAGCTCTCTGGCAATAGGACTCCAAGAGCCTCTGCTAGGCACCGCCTCTTCTTCTCTCACAACAAATGAAGAAATATGCTAATGAGACAGGAAAGAAAAATTTGCTTCAGTTTGAGCCTTATGTTGTGAATTCATATGGTTCCCTACTTCCTGTTGGCCCTGGGAGGTGTTCTTCCTCTTCTGTATCTCACCTGACCACACATATGAACCTAATTCTCCTCTTGGTCAGGGCTCTCCTAGAAAGTGGATAAATATCTTGGTGGGAATAACGTGGACACAGTCAGACAAGAGCCACAAGGGTGTCTGCCAGTATAAACTAGTTTCCTGTGAGAGGGACATCTGGTCATGGATCAAACTTAGGCATTGGGCTGTAGACCAGGATAAAGAAGTATCCCATAAAAGACACACTGAACATCCACAAACAACTCCCTTAGAGCCCCACCAGGGCAGGGCTAGAGTTTATAGTCACTTTCCAGAGAAAGAGACCTCAAAACCTACTTACAGGAAAATCATAACACCTTATTTCCCTGAAATCTGTGAAGATGCCAATGAAATATTACAAGAAGGAGACACTGCTAACATCAAATACGTAATATTAGAAAATTCCTATGTGAAGGATATAATGTTAAAAAATAATCACTATTTTGTTATAAAATTAAAAATTTATTCTTTCCAGCTTTATAAAATTTAGTATAAATTTAAAAAACTTCAGTTTTTCAAGTTCATTGGTATATAACTTTATTATAATAAGATTTTAAAACATTTAAAGCTACATTTAGAATGGCTGTAATTTCTGTCAGAATAAATTAGGCTTTAAAGTTCACTACTAGTAATGTTTTGTTTTTTTTAAGAAAAGTAAGTTATACATAAAGCACTATCTTAGTTCTAACCTTAGATTTGTATGACATGTCGGAATTACATATAACAGCTTTAGGTAATATAAAGACCCTTGCTTTTTGGATACAGAACTATTTCGAATCTAGCTGTGTGACTTCAGGCAAGTTATTTAAAACTTTCTAACTCTTCTTGTCTGCAAAAATGTAGTTAATGTTTCCTTCAAAAGAGTGTTTGAGTGCTTGGTACATAGTAGATCCTTAATAAAGTTATTCTCCTTGTTTACTTCATTTCAGTATATTCTAAAATGGCAAATTCCCTGATGGCTTCAAAATTTCTAGAAATCTTATTTTTCTAATAAAATAGTATGTTTTTTTGTTAAATGAAAAGGAAACTAAAATTTAACTCAAATGAACACAGAGTACATATATCATTTCGTGTATCTGTGTTTCAAATTACACACTAGAACAGAATGACTGCAAATTCTATGTTTAATAGACTACCTAGAACAACACTAACTCCATAACCAGTTAACAAGAGGTGAAAGACCTAAAAGTAGAGATAATTGTAGAAAAAACATTGATATTGTGAAAATTCATCCTTTTCTACAGATAAAATGCTGCTGTGGCTTTGACACCAATCTTTTCTCCACAGTTCTGCTATAATTTAACACATAAGTTTCCATGTATTTGAAACAATAAAAACCTTTACAAACCTAGCAAAGACACATCAGCAATGATGAAGTATCCTCCATCAGGAACTATGGGTTTTAGGCCAACACTTTCAAGTAGACAAATTATCCGATCTCTTTTTACTTCTAACTCTTTTGGCAAAGAATTAAAGTAACACTCTGGATCATCCATGCGCTTGATGTCAATCCAAAAAGCTTGAGCCAAAGCTTCCTGTATGTTAAGATTGAAAGATGTGGAAAGGAAATATGGCCAATGTTACTTATTGCTTAGTTTATTGGTATAATAAATAAAGATAATTTGAGTTACATTATTGGCAAAAAGGTCACTCAGAAAATTACAGTTGAATTACTGTAAACCTATAAACTCTATAGATTAATGGAAGAACCTGTTACAGTTACATGATTAAATCTAATGTGAAGAACTGAGAATGAGTCATGAAATCCAAATCAAAAAAGAGGTATTATTATATAAAGATGGCATACTTGGGAACAAAAAGACATTAAAATATTTTCTGCTGAGGTGAGCTATAGAATGACTTGCTAAATCTAAGTCAGAAAAATGACCAGAGAAGTGACGAAGTTACCCCTTCACCAAAAGACCACGCTTCAACCCTGAGTTACACCTACCTGTAAAGGAGTAGCACAAGTATAAATGGTATTTTGTTGAACTGTCTGTAAATGTTTTATCAAATGATTAGGACCAATGGACCAGCCAATCTGGGAAAGGAAAAAATAAAAGAAGATTTCAAAAAATAATCTAATTGTATATACCAAATCTGAGAGAGTAGTTAAACTTAATGCAATTGTTAAATACATGCAATTCTAAAGTATTCACACTATGAAAATAGTGCAGTATTAGTACTTAGAATCATTTCAATGCTGTTCTTTTGGTGGAAAGTTTCTAGCTGGAGTCATGAAGTTCTGCCTTCAGTAGGCTAACAGAACCTGCAATCATTATTAGCCTTTTCCCTTCTTTTAATTTGCTACTTATGATATTCTGGAGGACTGAAAACTGGTAACAAAGCTTGTTTGAATTACAGATAAAAGTAACTCTGAATGAGAATGTAAGGGACCCTTCCATAATCAAAGACTTTTGATTTTATAAGCCTTATTTTTGATGCACTCTGCTTCTTAGCCATGTTCAGGAGAGCTGAGGCTCTTTCCTCCTTTTATATCTATCTCTCTGTCTCTCCCTCTGTGTGTGTGTGTGTGTGTGTGTGTGTGTGTGTGTGTGTGTGTATATATTTTAAAGACAGAATCTCACTCTATTGCCTGGCTAGAGTGCAATGGCAGCACCATAGCTCACCACAACCTCAAACTCCTGGGCTCAAGCGATCTTCCTGCTTCAGTCTCCTGAGTAGCTGGGACAACAGGTGTGAGCTACTACGCCTGGCTGATTTTTCCTCTTTTTATATTAATATACAGTATCTGACCATTCTTTGCAAAGAAAAATGTGTCACTAGTTGATTCTATAAAATGAAAATTTATCCAATTTTTCTTACTTTTAAAGAAATAATTAAAAGGATAAAGCCTAACATGAGAGCCAAATAAATCAATAGATAAGCAAAAAATCATTAAGTTCAGAAACCTGTGGAAACTGAATATGTATGCATTTAAAACACAAAATAGTCTACAAAAAAAAGAGATGCCTACTTTTAAGCAATAAGATTTTTAGTCATCTTACCTTCCAGCCAGTTACACTGAAAGTCTTTCCAGCACTTCCTATTGTTATTGTTCTCTCCCACATACCTGGAAAAGTGGCTAAATAGGAAAAAAAAAAAAAAAGTTAAATAATGACTTTCACATCAATCTACATTCAGTGTAATAAAAACGTAACAAAGATATATACATTCAATGAAAATAAGTTTATTATGGTGTAGTCAGTATAGTTATTTCAATAGGGGTTTTAAGATAATGTGTCTTTAACTCAAAACACACCTAAAACATTACAACACTATCATGTTGCATCAAAATAATATATAAATGGATCTAATAATTTCAAGGAGCAAAATTATTTCCTGGGTAGGAGTAACAGTGGTTTGAGTAGGGAGAGTTTCAGGCTGGCTCACGAGGCAGCTGTCACAGGAGCCATGGCATCTTGTGTTCAGTGTTTGTAGTAACTGTATGTTCAACGCAATAATTCTGTGGCATAGCTTTGGTTCCAGTTATGGCTGTTCAGTCCCCTTTATTCTACCCATTTTCTAAGGCTATTTCTCCATGCTTCCTAGAGCAATGGTTCTTAAAATGTGGTCCCATACCAGCAATATCAGCATCACTGGGAAATTTGTAAGAAAGGCAAATCATTAGGTCTCACCCTAAACCACTGATCCAGAAACTCTGGGTACAGGGCCAAAAATATGTGTGTGTGTGTGTGTTATTTTGCTAACAACTTTATGAAGATAGAAATCCCATATCATATAATTCACCTATTTAAAGTGTACATTTTGGTGGTTTTTAGTATATCCATGGATTTGTGCAACTATCACCACAGTCAATTTTAGAACATTTTTTTCACCCCACAGTAGCTCTGTACTTTTAGCTATCACCCTTTAATATCCCCATGATCAACAGCCCTAGAACCTGTGCCTGAAGGAAGCTTATCAAACACACGTATTTTCTCCATAAGTCACAGTCTTCTTGTGCTTAGGAACACTAGACAGCACTCAGCACAATGCTTGGGGGCCATCTATAAACAGCAGATTCACCATGAAAAGCATACTTGTTTATACTGTGAGCTGAAACACGGAGCGCAGTGTTGCCTTATTCGACATCAACTGGGAATGTGTGTATAGGGTGACTCTAAGTTTTTGCCCCTTTTCGAATGAAGTGCCGAAAGTATTGATTTTGGAGTTATGAATACATCTTAGGGAGTGGTGAATTCATAAATATAGAACTGGAAAATAACAAGAATGGACTGTATAAAGGTTTTCAAGCTGATTAACATTTTTAATAAAGTCATTCATCTATTCACTCATCAAATATTTATTAATTTTAATTAATATAATAAGTTTAATTAACATAATCAAATATAATTAATATAAGTAATTTCAGTCTATCATGAAATACCTGCCAATACTTGTAATAGTAGGAAAATGATATAAATAGGAAAAGTTATAATTGAATTCTCTGTGGAACATAACAAAAGCCAAAGACATAAACCTGGAAAATATTTAGAAGGTCCACTTGAAGAAAGACTAGATATAAGTAATTATTTCCCTTCAAGTTTTGAGGCATTTCCAGTCTTCCAAAGCACTCCAAAAGAAAATCATGACACGGTGCCCCACTTTTCTATTTGACCAGAGAACATACAAACTATGTATAATGCAGAGTATCAATTCCTTTAAAATAATAACATATATTCAAAATCAGGAAGACCTATTAGAAAGAACAATATTTAGAAATAAATTCTTTGGAAAATAAGGATTCCCCAGAGAAACTAATATAATCCTAACATGTTTTCACTATAAGTTATATATGAAGGAAACCAAAACTACTCAAATATCAAACATAGGTTTCATTCATAAAATATCAAATCTATTATAGCGCTATTTAAAAGAAGAGCTAATTAATTTGCTGATGACTATTTTAGCCATAAATGTGGATATCTTTTTTTTTAAGGAGTAAGCTGATCTGCTGAATAACTTACAAGGAATTTTATATTAATTTTATAAAAATCAGTGTATTTGTATATAAATGGAGAAGAGAACTTTTTTTGTTGGCTAAAATATCAATTTACTGACCAGGAAATATCATTTGTTTCTTTAAAAATTTTTTTTTATTTTGTTATTATTTTCCTTTTTATTTTTTAGAAGACAGGGTCTCACTATGTTGCCCAGGCTGGCCTCAAATTCCTGCACTCAAGTGATCTTTTTGCCTCAGCCTCTGAGTAGCTGTGACTATAGGCATGTGCTGCCACACCCAACTTAGGAAACATCATTTGAATCAAAAATCCGATCGAATAAGAGCAAATTCTACTATTTCATAAGAAGAGCCTTAAGTAATATTAAAATATCTTCTCAATCTTGGAGATCTGGGGAGCCACAGAAGTTAATGTGGATTGGCAGAAGAGATGGCCACAGCTTTGTTGTGTGTGGATGTGGTAACTTACAGGCCAAAAAAAAAATAATAATAATCTAATGATTTTAGAAAATAATATCCATTATATTGTAAGTTTAAATTACAGTTACATCTGAACAGCAACTGGTCTTTACACTGCTCATTTATGACTCATAATCCTTAATTCAGCCAAAGCAGTTATAACCATTAATCATAAGCAACTTAGGCTTCAATAGAAGCCATGAAGATCAGAGACACGAGGAGTGCTGCACCAGGGAAAACTGCCTCTGTGACAACTTGAAGATGAGAAGATGATACACTAATTTCATGATGCAGCCTTGTTGTATTATATTAAAGAATGTCGCACTTTGAAAATTGATATAATAGCCATTTTGCATTGTTCATGTATCGAAGACACTATATTTGATAGAATACCTAAGTTTTTATGCAAACAAGCTATACTTTTTAAATAATGAAATAGAGAATTTTTTTTTACTTTAATTTTATGGGCTATTATAACTAAAAAATCTGAGTTAAAAATATATGTCTTGCATATCCTTAGCAAATAATGTCATTAGTTACACTTTACACTGAAGGGCTTAAAATTATTAATAGTAAATCCAAACAATAAATATTGGGGTCACTTAAAGTGATCTTTTGGAGCAAACATTGCTAAATTGAGTTCATTACCAGAAAAAAAATTACTTGCCCATGTTAGTCTCATTTTCAACTGAGAAATAGTTCAAATGACCTGAGACAAAGGTCAAGAATAAGATGGGCAATGGTGGACTTATGCAATTGAGACACATGATAACATTTGCTGTTACGGTACCATGCCCTGCAAATCCCTGACTGCCCCTCTGTTTATATATCCTCCCTGGGAAAATTCATTCCATGGGTCCAGCTACTACCGAATTTTAATGGCTACCAAAAATATATCCCCTCACAATTTGATTCTGACCATCAGGCCTGTAATTCCACTTGTCTCCAGATATCTATTCCTCTACATCTCATAGACACTTAAACTGACATGAGAAGCAGGTTTCAAGCATGAGAAGCAGGAATTTCCTTTGCTTAGCTCTTCCCAGACACCTGCTCCTCCTCTTGCCTTATTTACTCTGGTTAAGCTCCTCATCACTGCTGAGTAGCTCAGGCTAGAAATCTCAGAATCATACCTGCTCATTCTCTTCTCACCTTCAAATGCAACACTCTATACCTATAGTTACTACTTAGCCCCCAAGTACCATCTCCACTGCCAGGGCATCTGATTTGCTTAAGACCTTCATCTGCAGCTGGGTCTTACTTTTATATATATATATAAAATCTTATCATGGAACCAATTCCCCTGTTCTGTCACACCTTTGGCAGTAGTTCTTAAAGTATGCTCACTGGCATTCTGGTAATCAAATTAATGTACAGAATTTAAAAAGTCAATTTTAAGATTTCTTCCATGTAATTTTCTTAAGCCTTTAGCAATTGTTGTCACTTATCTGATAGTGAATGCTTCGACAGTGAAACAAATGAGCATTTAGTAAATGCATATTAATGCAATGGCAAAAATCGGTAAAACTCAAATGTGTTTATTTTAATAGCTCTTTGTTACAGACAAGTATGAATAGAATTGTGGGTGTTTTTTTCTTATTTTCCTTGAATATATTCTACACAGAATTGTCATTTTTATATTGACTTCTAATCGTTGAATTTCTATTAGGAAAAGTGCTTCTAATTTTAGGATGGAATTCATAATATTGCTATTTCATGATGCAGAATACTGTGGCTTCAAGGTGATCTACCACTAAAGCAAGTTTCAGAACCACTGACCTCTTCAACAAAGTTAATACTCTTTATTCTCATATACAAAGTCATTTAGAATCATCTTACTTTTCCACCCTGGTCTGTGCCAATTACTGTAACATACCCATATAAATCAAATCACTTAACCTTTCTTAAGTATATCTTGATCTTTCACACCTCCTTGCCTAAGTACATGCTAGGTTATCTGAATTTAGTTTCTATTTCTCTGCCTACCTAATTCCACCTTTTGCCCACTCCTTTTCTGATTCCCTCAAGTAGTTGCTTTCTCCTCCCAGCTCTACAGCAATATGTAATGTACTATAGGAACAACTATGACACCTACCATAATGCAATAATTGTTTATATGTAAATGTACTAATTTTTTAATTTATCTATCCTGCCACAGTATCTTTTAGTCATCCTTCCCTTATCTTTTCATCCTTCCTATTCATTTATTCAACAATTACTTTCTGTCTACCATGTACAAGAGACCCTATTCTGAAAAATGGGGATTCAGAAGAGACCCAAACAAATAATAATCCCTACCTTCCTGTTTAGAAGTAAAATATATAGATTCTGATTTTTACTACAAATGAAAAAACAGAACAGAAGGACAAAAATGCTGGAGGGAGAGGTGTAACTACTTCAAATGTGGTAGTCATGAAAATTGACATCAGAACAAAGACCTGAAGCAGGCAAAGGACTGAGCCATGTGGATATTTGGCAGAAAAGTGTTTCCAGGCAAAGGAAGGGCAGGTACAATGACTCAAAGGTGGCACCCCAGCTTATAATCCTATATTTGACATAAGTTTGGACTACCCCAGAAGACACTGTGGCATTTGTAAAATGGCCCAGTAGTATTGGCAAAATTTCATGCAAGGGCTAAGTAGCAATACCTTACTGCCCCTTTAATTTCTCCCTGTTGACCTGGCATTTTGGCAACTTGCTCAGCAAAGACAGTCCAGAACCTCTTTAGGAAGAAGTCAGCTCCTTGTGTCTTAAGTGCCAAGTAATAGCTGGATTCCTACAAAGAAGCCAGGGATACAGGCAAAATAACTACTTCTCTGGTGTCCTAGCTTTATACTGTGATCCAAAATCTATTCCCCTAAATTTGTACTATCTGTTCTTCAAGCTGTACATTAATTTACTCAAACGTCATTCATTCAAATACTATTTTTCAGTGCTCGTACAAACAGAAACCCATTACCAAGACTATTTTAAAGCTGGTCTGGGATTGTTTCCAATCAGTTGTTGCACATGTGCCCAAACACATTTAGATTCGTGACTCTATGTAATAATCAGTACCTATTTTTAAATGCTTATGTCCAGAATATACAAGCCATTCATAAACCTCATCACTGATGCAGAGTGTGTCATATTTGATGCAAAGGTCAGCAATTACTTGGAGTTCCTCTTTGGTATACACCTACACATATTAAAGAAAAAAGCACAGCCAATTATTATCCAACATATGAGGGAACAATAGGTCAGAAAACTGTATGAAGGAAAGACTTGCTTACCTTGCCAAGGGGGTTATGTGGAGTATTTAGTATAATAGCTTTGGTTCTGGAAGTAAATTTACTTGCCAGTTCATGAGGATCTAATGTCCAGTCAGAACTAGACCATCTTTTTCCATAAACAGGTTTCTAAGCATGAAGAATGAAGATGTGATTTAATTCAATTAATTAATCTTTGCTGTCTTACAAATAAATAATCTAATAAGGAAAAAAATTAAAGAAAGGCATGGCAAAGGTAACTGAATAAATGACTAACAAAGAACATACACAAATAAAAGTAACTAGGCTTTAGTTTTGCCTTGAGAGCCCAAAAGGACCTAAGTCTTACGCTCACACTTATTAAATGGAAAAATGATTCCTGTCAACATTAACAGCTGTTAAAGTGTTTATATTCCTTCATAGGAGCCAGATATAACTGTAGTTAGCATTTTTTATATTATAAGGCTAATAGAAGATTTTGTGACTCATTGTGGTGTTTTAGTTATTTTGAAAAGATTTTGAAAAGACATCTAGACAAATGGAGATATTTAATAAATCTCCAAATACAATTAAAGTAGAAACTTTATCAGTGACAAAGTATTGGATCATTAAATATGAAATGTCTGATTTCAAATCAAAAGTTTGGTCTATAATATCTCAGAAAAGCAGTACAATTAATCAAAGCATGCACCTAAACTATCGATACAGTTTTGCCATCTTAATGGTAGCTTGTTTATTCCAGCAGTGAAGAAGCCTACAGAGCAAGTGACGATAAAATTGCAAATGGCCTTTTCCACAGCTCGTTGAGAATTGAATATTTTTCCTTGTAAGAATTGATCCAAAGCCTGGAAGAAGTGGTAGTCAGTTGGTGAAAGGTCTGATGAATATGGTGGATGACAGAGAGTTTCCAAGTCCAGTTTCTGTTGTTCAAGCAGCATTGCTTTTACAACATGTGGTCAAATGCTGTCTTGTAAGAGGATTGGCCTGTCTCTATTAACCAATCTTGGCTGCTTAATCACAAGCAAACTCATTATTTTGTCCAATTAACTGTAATTGACCACATTTCATCAAGCTGTAGTGGATACTACCAATGCTGGACCACAAAACAGACACTATTAGCTGTTTTTGATGAATATTCAGTTTTGGATGATGTTTCAGCACTTTATCTTTATCCAACCATTGTGTAGAATGCTTGCAATTGTCAAAAAGAATCCATTTTTTATCACACATAATAATATGGTATAGAAATGGTTCACCTTTATGTTGTGACAGCAAAGAAAAGCAAACTTCTAGATGATTTCTCTTCTGATGCTCATTTAATTCAGGTGTTATACATCTATCCAGCTTCTGTACCTTGCTGATTTCAAATGGTCCAATATTGTTGGAATAGGAACGTCAAACCTTGCTGCTAATTCACACATAGGTTAAGATGGATTCGCTTCCACTACGGCTTTCAGTTCATCATTATCCACGTTGGTCTCAGATCACCCACATGCCTCATTTTCAAGATTAAAATCATCAGAACAGACCTTCTCAAACCATCGACGTACTGTATGTTCATTAGGCATGTCCTTCCCAAACACTTGGCTGATATTTCAAGCTGTTTGTGTGGCATTGGTTCCACGTCAGAACTCATACTCAAAAATAACACAAATTCTTGACTTATCCATGGTTTCACAACAGCTGCTCTAAAAAAACTTTGAAAGATAATCACAAGCCAACCCATGGGTTTGAAAGAATGAGGATGTACCTTCACAATAAAAATAAAACAAGAAGTGTCAAAGTGAAATGTCAGAGATACCAACTGTTGAACTTAGTATTTAAGGAAATCAGACATTTCATACTTAATAACCTAATAATTGCTATTTTCCAAACTTCTTAAAGCATATGAATCATATTGGCAAACTTACAGATGATCTAAGAGGAATAAAAATAGGTGTTGCTCCAGCCATTCTCACCATGGGCTCATAGCAGTCATAGAAAGGCACTATTATTATGACCTGAAATAAAAGGAAGTAAGAATATGACATATCAATCATTAATTCATTTCATGAATATATTTAGTACCTACTGCGTACTAGATGTTGCAATGCAGCAATGAAAAAGGCAGGCTTTGCCTTGATGGAGATAACATCTGAGGGGAAGAGACCTTGGAGATAAACTTTTCCAAGGAGTTTTAATTGCATTCCTTGGTCTCTGAGGGAGATTTATCGATGAACTTACATGTGGTATGTAAAATTTTAGATGTGCACAGGTAGATTTATCTGGGGAAAGGAGTCATCACACTTTCAAAAAGACGTTTTGGCCAAAATCATTAAGAATTTCTTTATATTTCAAATTAAAAAATAGAATCTAGAATATAAGTGATCTATCAGACAGTGACAGAAGCAGACAATAAGGAAAGAGAACAGTGTAATGCTCTTTGTTATGAATTGCTAATTTAAAAGCATTATCCAGGCCAAGTACAGTGGCTCACACCTATAATCACAGCACTTTGGGAGGCTGAGGTGGGAAGACTGACTGAGGCCAGAACATAGCAATACCCTATCTCTACCAAAAAAAAAAAAAAAAAAAAAAAAGAGGCAGCCAGGTGTGGTGGCCTGTGCCTATAGTCCTAGCTACTTAGGAGGCTGAGATGGAAGAACTGTTTGAGCATAGGAACTGGAGGTTATAGTGAGCTATAATGACATCACTGCACTCTAGCCTGGGTGACAGCATGACCCTATCTCTAAATAAAAGAAAAAAGTACATCCTGAGAGTGAAGATTCTTCCCTCTTCTCAAAAACATCCCCAAACAATGAGTGGATGCTAGGAGACTGGTTAGTATGCTATTCTTGTCTGGTATCTACAATTTCCCTCCAGGTGCCTCATATCTGGATTCTGTCTGTTTTCCTAGCCCCTTGAATATAGTCTCATCTTTTTGTCCCTCCATGCTCTCTCTCTGTCACTCCTGCCAGGGCTTTCAGCCACTGGGCCCATCTAACCAGGGATTAGTTGGTCATTATCCCAGCCCTAACACCTAATCATGCCATCCTGATCTACCACCCCTGACTCTCTGTGTTTCTATAAGGAGAGTTTGAACACATAATTTATAACCATCAGATACATCCATTTTTTCTTTTTACCTTTTAGAACCTAGCAACATTTCATGAAAATGTCATGCTATTACAGTTTTCATATTTATTATTTTAATGGCTATCTGAGAGTCTATTGATTTTTAGAATAATTTTCTTATCTTACATAAATAACTGTGCTATGTTTATTTGTGAGGGTGTAGTTTCTTTATTTTAAAACAGTTGATGAATAAATTCACACGATTATCATTTCTAGATTAAAGGGTATAAACATTTTTATGGTTTTACATCTATGAATATATATATATATATATATATATATATATATATATATATATATATCCAAATTGCTTTTGAAAGATCTGGTAACAACTTATAATTCTACAAGTCTACATTTAGTTGTCCCATTTAACTTTTTGTTGGTTAAATTTATGGCACCCAATTATTGTTTTAAATGTGTACTTTTTACTGTTTGTATTTCTTAGGATGTAAATACTTGTTCAAGGACTTTCTCATTGGAGTTATACATTCTAAAAGCCCATCTGTTTATACTAGTCCTTCAACTCAAACTTAGTGCCTACGAAGGACAATGTGATATGTGGAGGGTAAGGAAATGAACACAGAGCAGATCTTTCCCTCATGCAGACTGTAAGGTATTAATCAGCTGTGAAGTTCTCAGGGACTAAGATGATCCATCTCTGTAACCCTAGTGGGGAGAAATATAGTACCCAGTACAAAGTGAGAGCTCAGTAAAGGAAAATAAACTGGGGAAATGGGCAGGAAAGTGGAAAGAATATATCTGATTTGCTTTGCCTTAATTTCTTTATTTTTATGATGGGAATAATTCCTCTCTCTCTCTTTTCTAAGAGTATTTGAGCCCTAACTATTTTAGGTGCTGGCAGTACAGCAATAAACAAGTTCTCCTGCAACTTACATCCTACTAAGAGAGACTTATAAATGCATGGGAAAACAACTAAGGAAATTAGATAATTTCAGGTAGTAACAAATGCTGTAAAGAAAATAAAATAGGCCAGTAGGATAGAAAGTGACTTGTAGGTGGTTTCAAAATATTAGATGAGGTGATCAGGGAAGAAAGAAGATAGGAAAGATACTCCATCAGGGTGCAGAGGCGGAAACAACAAAGGATTAACAACACCAAAGTGTGAGACAAAACTTTGCACTACATTATAGGCTGAAAGGAGATGAAAGTGTGACTGTACTTCCTTAACAGATTTCCTTAAATAGCTTATTGTCTGGCATAGTATATAGAATTAGAGATATAAAAGAATAACATTATACAAAGTAGTGGTAACTTTTCTAAAGTTAGGTATGATAAGGGGCTGTGAGAGTTCAAAGAAAGTTAACAGTATAGATATAAATATTCATTCTATAGACCTAGCTTAAGCAACGCCTCTCTGGAGCTTTCCAGACCCATATTAGCAGATTTGATCACCTCTTCCTTTTGTCACCACCATAAATTATACATCCTCCACTAATTATACATCCTCCAAATTTTCTGTTTGGAAATCTATCTCATTTACTGGACAGGGAACTCTTCTGCATAGAAACCATCTTTTAACACATTAACTACCATGTGAATTTTATTTAACTCAAGCTAGTTTGGAGCCCAGAGTCTTGTGAAGAAAAACTTGGGCAAAGCCCTGCAGTTGGTTTGTGAAAATCTTAAGCTTATTGATGTTCTTATTGTTACAATTAATATTGACAAATTAATTTTTAAAAAAAAAAATTTTATTTTATTTTTTTTGAGACAGAGTCTCACTTTGTTGCTCAGGCTAGAGTGAGTGCCATGGCGTCAGCCTAGCTCACAGCAACCTCAAACTCCTGGGCTCAAGCAATCCTACTGCCTCAGCCTCCCAAGTAGCTGGGACTACAGGCATGCGCCACCATGCCCAGCTAATTTTTTCTATATATATATATATATATGTTTTAGTTGGTCAATTAGTTTCTTTCTATTTTTAGTAGAGATGGGGTCTCGCTCAGGCTGGTTTTGAACTCCTGACCTTCAGCAATCCACCCGCCTCGGCCTCCTAGAGTGCTAGGATTACAGGCGTGAGCCACCGCACCCGGCCAACAAATTAATTTTTAAAAGGTGGATTAAATGAATAGAAGTCAATAAATTTTGTCTTGCATTAAATTAGAAAGGATTGTTTTGTTTTTGAAGTTTTTATTTTATTTTCATACTAAAACACCGTAGTCCCAAGGGAAAAAATTTTTTTCTAGTATGGCAGTCAATGTGTTAAAAATCTAACAGTGCCTAACATACAGGTGGTGTTCAGTAATTTCTGAACAAATGAAAGAAGTCAGAAAATATTAAAGCAAGTGTATTAGAATTATAATGGAGAAGTAGGGGTAGAGATGACTAAGGTAGGTGCCCAAGTTGGTCTGATATCACAGGACTAACATGCAGAAATCATTTATTCTTCTATTTAGGTTATATATCCTCACACTGTACTGCTAACACAATACTGGGCATAAAAAGGCACTAATCAAATAATTGTTGATTGGGTTCAGATTAAACTTTTTTTTAGCAATGAAAACAAAAGATTATTTTTCCTCTTAGTGCTAGTCCTTTCTCTATTTATTTTTAAATAGGCTATAAAAATAAGATTAAACTATATGTAACAAAATGGATGAGTCCAACAGATATAATGATAAACGAAGGAAGTCAGACTCAAGAGTACATACGGTATGATTCTATTTATATGAAGTAAAAGAGCAGTCAGAATGAACCTATGGTGATAAAAGACAGAAGATTAGTTATCTCTGGGAGAATATAGACTAGGAAGGGGCACAAAGGAGCCTTCTGGGTGCTGGAAACGTACTATCTCTTCATCATACTATCTCTTATAGTTACATAGAAATTAATTCAGCTGTACATTTAAGATTTGTCAACTTTACTGTATAGGCATTGCACTTCAAAAATAATTAAAAATAAAAGAAAATGTAAAATAAGTAAAAGATTCAAAGGTGGGGGAAATGATAATTATTAATATAGGTATTACAATAACGTTAATATACTTACTTCATCTCCCTCATCAATTAAAGCTTGAATGGCACTAAAAAGAGATCCATATGCTCCTACTGTCACAAGGATTTCTTTATTTGGATCAATTTGATTTTGATAAAACTTTTCATATAGGCAGGACAGAGCCTTCACAAGTGCTGGATGACCCTGTTGGATAAAAAAAAAGAAAAAAACTTGAATTTGATTCTGGGAACTACTTCTTTGAGGTAATATGGCTGTAAAATATAAGAATTTTTAAAATCTGGATTTGATGTTTACAATTATTCAAAGAAAATTTGTATTTTTTAATGGCAAAAAACTAAAAATAAATTTCCTATATTCAGAGGGTTCCTAGATGGATAGTCATGAAGACTTGCCAATGGTTAAAACTTCCTACTAAATACATTGTTTGGGAATATGTAACTTCAAAGTATTTGCTTTGAACTAAAAAAAACTCCTTAGTATACTTAAATGATAGAATTAGATTTGTTTCTCAGTTAAAATAAGTTAAAATAGGCCAGGTACAGTGGCTCATGCCTGTAATCCTAGCTCTCTGGGAGGCCGAGGCGGGCGGATTGCTCGAGATCAGGAGTTTGAAACTAGCCTGAGCAAGAGCCAGACCCTGTCTCTACTATAAATAGAAAGAAATTAACTGGCCAACTAATATATCTAGAAAAAAAATTAGCCGGGCATGGTGGCGCATGCCTGTAGTCCCAGCTACTTGGGAGGCTGAGGCAGAAGGATTGCTTGAGCCCAGGAGTTTGAGGTTGCTGTGAGCTAGGCTGATGCCATGACACTCACTCTAGCCTGGGCAACAAAGTGAGACTCTGTCTCAAAAAAAAATAAAAAAAGTTAAAATACTGCATTCATTGCACATCCCTGGATCTGTTCTTCCCAGTTGCTGGATGGAAGGTTATGCCAACCAATGTGATGGGGAGAGAGGCCAAAAACAAATTCACCAAACACATGCACACTCATGTTGATGTGATAACAACTGTTAGGAAGAAGCTAAACATTCTTCACGCTGACAGCCAAGAGAGCAGTAGTAGTTCTCTAGGATAACTGCTTTCATAAGAGGAGTGAAGGGAGTATAAATGCACAGTGTCTGAGACATGCAGGGAGTCTTAAGACCCAGGATTAGCTCTCCCTCAATTCCTCTCTTCTATGTTCTCTTCTCTTCCCTCTTTTTCTTTTTTAGTCCCCCCCCCCCACCACCACCACCTTGTTTTCATTGGTATTGAAGTCAATATGTCTTATTCTGTTTAGCATCTACTTCCCCATTATGCTTTGGGGAACTACCTTGATTTTCTGTCACTTGCAAATAAGAGTGCAATGTATGTAGGTCACGTGCCTTTGCTTGAAAGCACTTTGGACTCAAGAAGAATAAACTGGGTCCCTTTGAATTTCACTATAATACCAGGTCTAACAAATTCGAACAAAAGATGATCCGAAAAGCAACTATAAACACTATACATGTTTCTTTAGAATGATAAGGGTTTGTGCTTTTTAAATTAAATTTTTAATTACAAAACTAAGTTATGCTTTATATAATAAATAAAGCTAGGAAAAGATGCATAAAGAAAAAACTACACTTCTCCTCAATATTACTCCATTCCTATTCCCCCTAAGATGACAGATGTCCATAGCCTGGTGATAGCACACCACCACTCCCAGTGCTTAAACCAATGTAAAAACACACATACATATATGTACCTATGTATTTACAAAAACTGGAAAATATGTAAGTAAGTGGGCATGCTTGTGTTCTAACAAAACTTTATTTACAAAATCAGAGGTGGGTCAAATTTGGCCTGTAGGCCACAGCTTGCTGAACCCTGCTATAGATTAATTTTGGAGAACTGACATATTAATAATATTTAGTCTCCCAACCCATGAACATCATATATCACTCCATTTATTTAGATATTGCTTAATTTCTCTCAAGTTATGTTTTATAGTTTTCATTGTACAGACCTTGCATATATTTTTAAAAATTTAGTCTTATATAATTGATGTTTTTGCATGCTATTATAAATGGTATTTTAAATTTAAAAATTTAATGCATACACTGGATCCAATGAAAAAAGAATAAAATAATAAAATAAAAATTAATTAAAAAATAGAAAAAAGTAAAAAAAATTTAAAAATTTACTTTCTGTTTGTTCTTAATATGTAGAAATACAATTGATTTTGTATATTGGCCTTCTGTCCTGCAAACCTGCTCAATTCATTTATTAGCTGTAGTAGGTTTTTGTAGAACTCCTTAGGATATTCTATGAACGTGATTATGTTTTCTGCAAAGGTTTTTTTTCTCTTTCTTCTTTATATTTTCCATCTCATAGGGCTCCAGAACATTGTTGAATAACAATGGTGAGACTGGCATCCTTGCTGTGTTCCCAATTTTTCTACTTTATGTGGATTACAAGTGTAATCTCTAGGTTTCCCAGATTCCCTTTATCAGATTGAGAAATTCCCATTCTACTGCCAATTGGCTGAAAGTTTTTATTATAAATGAGGGTTGAATTTTGTCAAATGCATTTTCTGTATATACTTAGATGATCATATGATTTTTTTTTTTTATATTCTGTTAATATGCTGAACTTCAATAATAGATTTTTGGATATTATACCAATCTTACATTCCTATGATAAACCTTACTTGGTCAGGACATACGATATTTCATATCTTCATTCATACACACACACACACACCACACACATCTGGATTTGATTTGCTAAAATTTCAGGATTTTTGTTTTTGTGTTCATGAGCAATATTTGAATTTTATCTCTGTTTTTGTCTGGCTTTTGTATCAGGATACCACTGGTCTCATAAAATTTGTTGGGAAGTTTTTTGTTCTGCTCTATTTTCTGAAAGCATGTATAGAGAAATGGTATTACTTCTTCCTTAAATGCTTCATAGACTTCACCAATAAGCCATCTGGGTATCAAGGTTTGCTTGTAAAAGATTCTAATTACAAATTCACTTTCTTTCTTTGATACGGGGCTAGTCAGGTTTTTATTTCTCCTTGTGTAAGTTTGGGTAATTTATAACTTTCAAATAATTTGTTCATTTCATCCAAGTTGTCAATGTATTGATATAAAATTACTCATATTATTTTATTATTGCTTTAGTGTCTGTATGATCTGTAATGATATTCCTTCTTTAATTCTTTATATGGTACTTTGTGTTTTCTCTTTTTTAATCAATCGATCTAGCTAAAACTTTTACTTCTTGATCTTTTCAAAAAGCCAGCTTTTGGTTTTGTTAATTTTCTCTATTGCTTGTTCATTTCTAGCCTTTCATTATGGACTTACATAGGCCGGGAAGGGGACTATATGGAGTACCTGAGATGTGGGTCTGTAGGGTGGGCCAGGGAATCAGAGTCTATGGAGAGCAGGGATTCTCACCAGTGTCAAACCCTGGTACACACACCAGTCTCACTGCTTTTCCCTGTGCTCTCATTCCCAAAGCAAAGCCCTTTGTTGGATTTTTATAGTTAGATTGCTATAAAAGACAAAACGTGAATAGGCTTCCTCTTATACCCCTCCCCCATTTCCCACACTATCATTAAAAAGAAAAGACATGCTCAGACGTATAATTGGATGGCTTGAGGCATCACAGATCTAAGTCTGTTAACAGATATATAAGATATAGTTCAAAGGTACATCTACATCTAGGAAATCTCTGGATATCCTAGGCATTTCATTGCAGAAGGATGGGAGTTGAGTCAGGGTGGAGAGGAAGAGAGTAACTAGTTGGAAATAGAGCATATTAATTAAGGGGTCAATGCTAAGACTGCTTAAGTATTATTAACAAGATGGAAAAGACATGTCTCAAGAGAATATTATTCCTTCCCTTGCTACGATAGGAGCCCATGTTGGAACAACAGTAAAGTAAGGACCAAAACAGAACTACGGACGGGCTGGAAGCTGGGAAAGCCTCATCCTAGCACATAAGGGCAAGGGCAGGAGTTCCTGTGGTTACCAGGTTGGGATAGTGGGTCCCAGAAAGTCAATTACATATAAGTGATAGAAGTGCACACACAAAACAATATAAAACACAAGCCCACGCCCCGAAAGGTCCTGGTATACTTACGAAGCCCCGTGTATACTGATTCAGGCTATCAATGGTTGCAATCTCTGATAATTTTTCTTTTATATATATAGGAGGGGATATATCTGGAAGTCCCTGGCCAAGATTCACAACAGAAGGGTCTGCAGCCAACTTTGTAAATTCAATCCTAAGATTAAAAAAAAAATACTGATATTAATAATGATGATAATTACAAAATTTGCTTTTTACTTCTCATTACCTATAGTCTTATTATAAAACTGAAAAATAAGACCCAGCTAAGTCTTATGAATTAAGAAACCAGCAAGTTCCCAACAAAAATTTTACCACCCATAAAATGAATTTACCTAATAAAATGATGACTATAGTAATGAACTTAATGCTCCATACAAACCTCAGTTCCATGCTACCTATATTTTAAACATATGTAATACATCTATATCTATTTTTTCCCCTCAACTTAGCTGCTGCTAGATTGGCTTAGCAACTGTTAGAGAATAGAACTAATAAGAAAAGTTCGTGGACTAGAAGTTAAGTTCCACGAGGGCATCAACCATATTTGTCTTTTTCTCTGCCAGGTGTGCAGTGCCTAGCACTGGACTTGGCACACTTGCTAAACGAAATAATTCAGCATATTGATTGCTAAAGTCTTTCCATTTCCACTTAATAGATATATTAAGTGAGTGGCTTTATTTACACATTGTGGATGAGGCTAAAAATTCCCAACTAAGGTTATAAAAATATGTAGGAAAACCTGACCAAATTATTATTGTTTATTCTAAGATACTCACCACACGTTAACATCAAGGCCTTCAATTCGTTTTGCATTTGTGAATTTCAAAGACATTTTCTGAAAGGTATAAATATTAGAAGAATTTTAATTACTTTAATCAAAACTCAAAACTTCCAGTAAATCATGGGTAACTCTTCCTTTTCCTTATTGTCACCATGTGAATAACAGTTCCATAAAGACAAATTCTAGACTCCAATACAAAATTCTGAAGAAGAATCCATCTCCTATCTACTGCCTGACGGAATGCTTTTTAAAGTGAATTTCATTTTACTTATTTTTATTTTTTTATAAATTTAATTTACTTTATTGATTAGTTACAGAATTATGCTAAAAGAATAAGAATTCTTCTTAGAATCACTCTTTTGTGATCTCCTTATGTAGGGCAGGCAGTTGTCTGATCTTGGTTCTTTGTGTGCTCTTGGCCGAAGAATGACCAGGTACACCCAAAGCAAGGCAAATGTGAAATGAAGTTTATTGAGGAAGGGCAAGATAGGTTTACAGAGCAAGAGTAAGATACGTCCACCACAGATAATGAATGAACAGGCCCCCATCATAACGAGTTCATCTTCTCACCTACAGACAAAAAGTACCATACTAGCCTAAAAAGCGAATCAATTTAAAAGCCCGAAATGTACTAAAAAGAAAAATAATAATGCTAAAAAAAGAAATTTTGAGCCACGTTCTGAAGATCACTTTAGGTAAGATGTATTAAGTAAGTTCCTTGTATGGCATACAGGAAGCACTCAACAATGGTTTTAAAACTATTCAATAAGGGGTCTCAACTAATAATAGCTAACATTGAGTACTGAGTATATACTAGGTACTCTTCTGAGTACTTTACATAATTAACTTATTAACTTATATTCCCAATATCACTATGTAGTAGTTCTATCATGAGCTACAATTTACATATGAGGAAAGCGAGGTATAGAGAGGGTAAGATCACACAACTTTTCACATATGCTAAAATTTATAAATGCTAGTAATATTTAAACCCAAACAGGTTTAAAGCAGGATTTGAACCCAGACAGTCTGACTCCAGAACCCATACTCAGAACTGTTATCTTATACTGTCTTTTACATAATAACACCTTCCAAAAAGATTACCAGAATGCTGCCTCTTAAAAGTGTATCAGAAATTTAGATTAGGTCTACTTATACCAAGCAAGCTAAGGCTGTGGTAGAAAAATATTAGAAGTTAAAATAATCATATAGCATATAATTTTTTAGTTCTTTAGATTCTAAAATTAAGTTTATACTATTTCTCAAAAGTATTGAATTAGCTTTGAGTTCATTGTTAACAAGTTGGTGAAAATAAAAAAAGTGATTGACAGCATTTTTGCAAAGAATTTTCTAACAGAATATTAAAGTAATTTTAATTCAATCTGGGAAGAAGATAATGATAATGATTATTAAATAGACCATTGTTCTCATTCTATTCCCAATAATGGAATGAAGAATAAAACCTCTTTTAGTCTCATATTTTTAATCTTTGAAACGCCAGTGAAGTAAATCACACGAAAATTCTCCAGAGGTTAAAACATCTTCTGGAATAGCATTATGATTAAGTACCCACCTGAACTATTGATACTATTCTAGAGAGTATAATTGTAAAACTAAAAGGTGCCAGTATGATAGATTGAAACAGATATTTTAATAAATGCCCTTTGCTATCTCTAAAACAATGTTTAAAGTTTTGTGATTCATTTAGTATGTGACTGCAAACACGAAGGACAGAGTCACATATAAACAAATGAGCATGCTGTGTTGTAATTAATATAGACACAAAGTCCAATTTTACTTAAAATTGTTTAGATAATTGAGGTCAAAATGCATTTTCCAATTTAATTTTCCTTAAAATCTGTATCTCGACCAGCTTCTTCTCTCGCTGCTCTCCCCCTCCTGCCAATTCTATGCCCAAGCATTCTATTTTCTCAAATAGTCCACATTCTCTCTCGCTTCTGCAGCTTCATATGTTATCTTTCCTCAGCCCAAATGGTCTTTCTATACCAATGTTTCTCAGTCTCTTTTGTATCATTGCTCCCCCATGGAGCCTTCTTAGACATGTTTTCCTAATCATCTCCCCATCCCTAAATTAAATAATAAGGAATAAGATTCTGTCAGATACAATTGAGCTTTGGATGGCCACGAACCATTATAATAAATACCCTTGTTGAGAATGCATGTTCTCTACTCAGTCCAATCCCTGGTACCAGCCACACTGTCCTTGCACTCGGCTCGCTCCTAGTCTCCTTCCCATCTACTGTCTTCACATTTGACTCCATCTGATGCCACAAGTCAAGGTCAAGTGCTCCTGTGTGCTCCCACTATGTGCACTATAGTAAGTTCTCACTTACCTGCGTTGATAGGTTCTTGGAAACTTTGAGCAAACCGGCATATAATGAGACCAATATAACACAAGATAATTGATACAAACAAGAGGTAAATTCCTACAGCACATTTCTGATCACAAAATATCACCAAACTTCTAAATAAAGACTAAAACATTTCTAATATTAAATATTGAAATAATGTGAGCTTTACATACATTTAAGAAAGATTAATAAAAACAAGTAAGATGACTATTTACCCAATTATTCTAGTGTAAGGCTGCAGGTGGCTGGAGCCCATCTTGGGAACCAGCCCTGGGCGGAACATAGTCCCATCACATGGTGCATTCACTCACACTCACCCCCACGCCTAATCACACTGGGAAAACTTAGGTGCTCCTATTAACCTAACATGCACATCTTTGGAACATGGGAGGAAACTGAGTACACCCAGAGAAAACTCATGCAGACACAGGGAGACTGTATAAACTCCACGCATACAGTGCCTCTGGCTGGAAATCAATTTTTTTTTCTCATCAACATTAGAACAAGATGACATTATTCAAAGACCTGCTGTGCTTTCTAGCATTTATTATTATAAATTTCTGTTTGTCTGCACCTTCCTTTAGACTGTGAGAATAATTTGTTCCCTGACATGTGTCTTTATTAGTCAGGGTTCTCCAGAGAAACAGAACCAATAGAATGTATGAGAGGTTTATTTTAAGGACTTGGCTCATGCTATTATGAAGGCTGGAAAATCTGAACTCTGCAGAGAAGGCTGCAGGCTGGAGACCTGGGAAGAACTGATGTTGCAACTAGAGTCCAAAGGCAGAATTCCCTCTTCCTCAGGGGACCTCAATCTTTTCTCTCCTAAGGCCTTCAAATGAATGAGGTCCACACACAATTCAGAGGGTAATCAGCTTGACTCAAAGTTCCACTGACTTAAATGTTAATCTCATCTGAAATATACCTTAACAGTAACACCTAAACTGGTGTTTAGCAAATATCTGGGTACCATGCCCTCATCGACATCATCAGCGTCCAACACATACTATGCCTAGCACGGGGCAAGTTTGCAACAAATATCTGATGAATGAGTGAAAAAAACCCCACCCACATTAGGAGTGAAGTTAATTGTGTCAGTCATCTTAAGCGAATGTATCCTTCAGTAACAAATGACCTTGAAGTCTTGGTGACTTAAAATCATAAAGGTTTTCTTGTTCACACTACATATCTACTGGAGTTCAGCTGCTGCTCTGTTCCATGTCATTGCCATCTGAGACACAGGCTGATGAAACAGTCTCTACCTGGAATACTGCCTGTTTCATGGCAAAGGGGAAAAGCTCTCAAACGTTTGCTTGGAGGTACACACACCACTTCTATTCATATGCTATTGGCCATAGTAATTATGGCTAAGCCTCACATCAGTGGGGCAAGGAAACATAATTGTCCGGCCGGGAGGAGCAGCAGATAATTGGGGAAAATGTGGCAGAAATGAAGTCTGGCAGTATAAAGAGATAGGCTGCACTGTGTGTCCCTCTCAATTTCGTATGTTGAAGTCCTAATTCCCAGTACCTCAGAATAGGGTCAGTGCAGATGGAATTAGTAAAGACAAGGGCATTAGAGTGAGCCCTAATCCAATATGACTGATGTCCTCATAAGAAGGGGAAATTTGGACAGAGACAGACTCAGGGAGAACACCACGTAAAGATGAAGGCAGAGACTGGGGTGATGTTTCTATAAGCCAAGGGATGCCAAAGATTGCCAGGAAATCACGAGAAGATATGGGAAAGGTAGAAAACAACCTCCCCTGCAGCCCGCAGAAGGAACCAACCTTGCTGATACTTTGATCTAAGTCTTTATCCTACAAAACTGTGAGGGAATAAACTGCTGTTGTTTAAGCCACTTGTTTGTGGTGCTTTGTGAAGGCAACCCAAGGAAACTAATACACCGGGGTAAGTTTACAATATACCCTGCAATGTCCAAAGACACCAAGATTCAGCAGTAGACGGAAGTGCTCGCTGTCTAAGAACCGCTGCTCAGGGCAGATCCAGTATCAGGAAATTGAAACAAACTTGGAATCCTATGGGGAATGAGGCATGAGCCCCAGGTATATCAGAGAACATCCATAAAGTTTGTATAATTTCTAGATCAGCTAACCCTGTGAGATGACTTTTGCTATCAGGTAGATATACTATCATAGTGATACTGTCTGTTATAATTATACTGTACTGCCATGTTATTATTACTACTTATTAGGGACAGGGTCTCACTGAGTGCAGCAGTATCATTACAATTCACTGTAACCTCAAACTCTTGGACTCAAGTGATCCTCCCACCTCAGCCTCCTGAGTAGCCAGGGCTATAGGCACATACCACCATGCCTGGCTAATTTTTAAACTTTTTTTGTAGAGAAGGGGCTCTTGCTATATTGCCCAGGGTGGTCTTGAACTCCTGAGCACAAGCAATCCTCCTGTTTCAGCTTCCCAAAGTGCTGGGATTACATGTGAGCCACCACGCCAGGCCTATACTGTGTTATTAGCACAAAACTGCTAGTGAAATCATAAACAGCCCCTTTAATCTTACTTTTGTTAACTTGAAGCTAAAAATGCAGTTGTACATATTGACCACCAGGTGGTGCTACTGACAAAGAAAAGATTATCCCATCTCTGAAATGTTTACTGCAAAATGCGCTGGAACAAGCAAAGTTTGGAAAGACGAAAAAAA